AGCTGCCCCAGGGTGCAGGGGGGAGAGCACCCCCCAGCTCTCACAACCGTCTCCCAAGCCCTCAGTGGCACGTGTGTGATAAAAAGCCTCCAGCTAATGTTGGCTGAGCACGTCTCCAGGCTCTCACTGAAGAGCAGGGCTGGTAGCATCTTCAGGCCCTCCTCTAATCCCCTCTCCCAAAGCATGATCAATGCTCCCTTCCATGATAAATGCTTAAGCAAAGCATTCTGATCTGCTCTTAAGAGCTTGCAGTGCTTAAGACTCCTGAATCGTCAGGCCATGACCTCCAGTGCCTCACAGTGGCTGGGCTGTTAAACCACTCCAGTGCCTACCCAGCTACGGCCTGATGCCTTTCAAGAGGGTGAGTTCCTTCCCCTTCCACAACAGCAAAGATCAGATCATGTCCTGGCTCTTTCCAGACTCAGAGACTCCTCCCCTGCCCCATTTTGGTGTTTTTCCTGGTGAGCAGTGGCTGTACCTACAGCAGTCGTCCCTGCACTACCACGCCTGCTCTAGATCTCACACCAGTGACCTCTGGGGCAATTTCCCCTTAGCCAGTTTAGCCCACATGTACAAAAGATGGCTTGACCTCTTGCATTTCCCATCTTGTTTTCTAGCCCAGAATGAAGCTAAATAGCCATAAAACTAAAGCAACGAACCCTTTGCTAACAATTTAAAACTTGACCCTGAACAGCAACACCCTCCAGTGTATGGAAGATGTGAGGCCAAAGACTCACAAAATCCTTCAGTTCATCCCCATCAAGGTGTAAGGAACATGGTGCAGAATGTCACAGGGGGAAGAGGCTGTGGCACTTCACTGACGCCAACATTGTTCTGAGCCTGCAGCTCCTCAGAAACCAGGGCTACACCCTAGGCACTAACAGAGACAGATCTAGCTCACAACCCTGCTGCTTCAAGGGAGGACATGAAGCAACAGAAAGAGTCTTCCTGCAGATCAGTGACATCAGTTTATGGAGTGACACGACAGCTCCTGGGGGCACACACACCATAGCAGCATGTGGTCACCAAAGCCAGCACTGCTGTTTGCCTGGTACAAATGGGCCCTAGTCCGTGCCTGATGTCAGTAGGTGCTGCCACTGTTTCTATTTTTTTTCCTTTTTTCCCCATCCACAGATTTTCAGATGTTTGGCTAGAGTGCAAAAGTACTTTTAAAAGCTGGGGTGTTTAACACTGGTGTGTTTGTGGCATGGAAATAAAAGGAGGGCTCTGGGGACCCTTTTGGAAGATGATGTTTGAGGTAGAATTGGGAAGGACAATCTAGATTAATTTTCTCAGATGACAACAAAACCCTGGACTCTCAGGAGGCTGGTTTACATCTCAGCTCAGCTCTTCCCTGTGTGAGCAGTACAATTCCTTACCTGTGAAGCCAATACTGTGACTCGTGAAAAAAGTCAGAGATCAGCCTGTTTCCATGAGGGCAAAGAGCTGAATACATGCAAGAAAATCCCCATTGTGGACTGTCTCAGGTGCTGCAGGTGAGAACGACTGTTCTGAGCCATAGATCATAAGTGATTAACGTAACAAATCCCTGATGAAGACAGGATTAAGGAGAAATTTAACGGCTCATTTCTGTTCAAAGAAAATGCTCAAACTTAGAAGCACTCCAGGCAGGAGTCTAGAACTCATCTCCACAAACTTGGTAAACTTGAGACATGCTGTGAGTAGGGGAAAAGAAGAAAAGTCTCCAACCCTGAAATGGGAAGAGAAAACAAAGCAAGGGAGCAAAAATTGATGACCTGGTAGTTGACCTTACACTTGGGTGTAAAGAGAGTCTCATCACCATACTTGCACCACCAAAGAGAGGGCTCCAGGAAAAAGCACAATCCAAAGGACAAGGGAAAAGAAAACCAGACTCCCCAATGAGATCCATGTGGGAATCACAGAATGGGTTGGAAGGGACTTTAAAGAGCATCTAAGCAACCCCCCTGCTATGGGCAGGGACACCTCCCACTAGGGCAGGTTGCTCAGAGCCCCATCCAGCCTGGCCTTGCACACACCCAGTGACGGCAGACCCACAGCTTCCCTGGGCAACCTGTCTGGTAGCCAACCAGATCCTGGCAGGGGCATCTCCCGGGGAAGGTGCCACCCGGAGGCCAGTTACAGATGTGTAGCACATGTGGGGAAAAAAAAAAAAAAAAAAAGATAAAGATGTTTAGGTGATATTTAATGAAAAATAGGTGACTGTTTACAAATGCAAGGCTGCTTGAACACCTAAAAATGAGCATGCTTCCTGCAAGGTATCAAGCGTGCTATCGAACTGCAAGAAAAATAAGGTAGAAAGCTGCAGCAGTAGAGTAAAAATTCCAAAAGTTTTCCAAGAATTCCAAAATGCTTCATGAGTGAAAACAAACAACAGAAGGGGAAATCTTCCACATAGGCCACTTCAGGTGAACCAGGTTCTTCTGGAGCCTGCCAACTCAGAAGCCACCTTATCAAGCTCCTTTGAGAACTCTTCCTCTACAGCTTCCTAGTTAGGAGAGAAAACCAAGAGGAATCAAGTGGCCATGAAACTTGTCTTACATTCTTGTAAAACAAACATATCAGTGATCAAACCCTGAGGTGAATCAGAAGGTCTCACTACTGTCAACAGCTAGCTCCACTAGTTCCTCCTACCACTATGCATGGCTTTTTCCTTACCAGAGCAAAATTTCCCTCCAGAGATCATTAAGACTACAATCCAAGGTGGATAAATCCACAATCAATTAATATAAATAGCTTGTTTTGGAATGACAGCACTCACTTGAGTCTTTGTGAAAGAGAGTAGGGGAGAAAAAAAAAAAGTATCTTACCAGTTCTCGTTTCAATTCTTCATTCCTCACTTTTGCAAGTAAAAGATTCTATTGAGAGAAAATGGCATGAAAAATGAGAATTTTGGTGGAAAAACGGCGTCCCCACATCATTGCAGGAGTCCAGTGATGTGCAACATGCACATATCCAGGGATAATGAAGTCAGTTTTGTGTACACCCTTCATATGCAAAAGGTACTGACATTTTAAGCCTAGTATCCATTTGGTTTGGGCAATCCCTTTTTTTCAAAAGTCTAGTATGGCCTAAACTCTAAAAAACCCAAACCCACAACCATTTTTAGTGATTTTTCCAAACCTGCCAAACGGGGAACTGGATTTTAAACATATCTGTAAGTAAAACTTTTCCACGTGTTACACAGAAAGGCCTGAGGTGAGCCCCATTAGGGGCTGTGGGGTGCTCAGACACAGAGGTTAACAGGAGCCACAACAGGCAACTCAAATACAGAACTGTAAACTAGACAGTTGCAGTTGTGTTTCATAAAACCCATTCAACTATTCATACTCCAGTTTTTGCTATTTCTCCCCTGAATTGCAAAGGATGGTCCTTGATATTTATCAGTAAAAGTAATAGAATCTTCCAAAGCAAACTGGAAACACTTGTGTTTAGCTGTCCCAAGTGTCACAGGTGGTGATACAGTCACACAAAGCCAAGGCTTTGTTTCATGACTGAAGCCTTGTTTAACCATGATTTCTTTTAAGCCACTATAAAGTTGTTCATAAACTCACCCTTAACTGAAACAGTCTTTTGTGACAAGTGTTCTAATTAGAAGAGTAAAATAATTTTTATGAAAGATGCCTCTCATGGCAGTGTGGCAGTAACTCCTGGCACAGAGACTGACAGTAGCAATGGCAAAGCCATAAGAGTTACCAGGACAAGGGCTGTGAAAACTGCAACTTAGTCACCTAAATTAGAAACATGCTTTTCAGAGGGCAGAGTAGCCAGGACCCTCGAGAGAAAACAGGGAAAATGATGGAGCAGCCAGTACTCACACAAGCTAGACTACTTGTTTAGGGGAAAATATCTATATTTGGCTATTTCAGAATCAAAATCTTCTCAGAACAACTTCTGCACCATGTGCTGTGTCCACCATATTGACAGCCTGATGATATTGATAGCTAATATCAGTAAATCTCAAAAAAATTGTTATACTAAGGAGTTACATTTTCTGCCAGTTTTGCTTGTCTAATTGCTAGCTAATTTGCCTTAATACTGAGCTCACCCAGCAAATATGACATTTTGTTAGAACGAATTTTGCCTGGTAAGTGTACTTAATTTCTTGTCTTTTAATTACTAATAGATTAGATTACTAATCTATTAATCTATAAGATTAATTTGTTAATGTATCTGTTAATAGGTTCATCTGCCTTCTGTTCAAGTAAAGTCTTGTTTACACCATTAATAGACCTGTAGCACATCTGCCTTTGCACTGAAACCATCCCAACACCCTTTACATTCTGAAGTCCATTAAAACTAGAATGGAACAGTGGAAAATATAATTACAGGAGGTAAATCTGCATAGGACTCCATCTCCTGCTTCAGAGGTTCAATTTGTTTCTTCAGTTCCTTCAATTCCTGCAAAGAGAGCAAGACACATAACATTGCTTGTTATGATTACTGTTAACAGTGAAATAGATCCATCACCTACAGCATTTCAGAGTCACAGATGCTGGTGAGAACTTTCATGGTCAGTCTTATAACCCAAGGAAAACCAAAGATCTGCTGCTAATTCAGTTATCAGCCAGTCAAACCCAGGTCAAGTTTTAAACAGAGGTATCATTTTTTCTTCATTCTGAAGACATCTCCAGGTGTCTTTTCTTACAGTATAACCACCTGATCTCACCTCACAAGAATCCACCAGAGTCCTTCCAATGCAGGCCAGAAAGAACACAGCTCCAAGGAAGGGGATTAATTCTCACACCTATGCTTTCCATGTGAAAACAGTTTATTGCAAATGCAGGAGCAAAAGGACCCCTTACACCTGCACCACTTGGCTTTTTCTGTTACAAGGAGGAATATTTTCTCTTTGTGCCTGAAAACTGAGCACCTTCCACAGTCCTTAGCTCTTTTTAAATAATCAGCTTAAAAAGAAAAACATAAGCACTCCAGAGAGAAGAGTAATTTGTGCTGCTCAACTCACTGAGCTCTTGGCAAAGCAGATACAGAAATGTCAGGGAGTCAAACCTGCCCTTATGCTCTGGTTCTAGAAGATGACAAGTCTAGGAAATTGCCTGTGGCTTCTGGCATGTAAAATTCCAGCAAAATATTTTTGGCTAGTGCTCTTCTGAAACACTGTGCAATGTGAACATTGCCACCCAGTGCTGGTTCCTGAGAATGGCAACACAGAAACTGGGAAATCTTTCAATGTTCAACTTAACTGACATGCAGAAGAAATGGGGAGAAAGATTAAACTCTTATTACAGTAATAGCAAACAATATTAAAATGTGGTGAGTGCAGACAGAGCAACACAAATGCGTGTTACATGTGCACAAATGCTTCAGCACAAAGCTGGAGAACCTTAGTTTGTCACTCAAAAACTGACTGTAACCAAATATAGAATCACAGAATCATTAAGGTTGGAAAAAGACCTCAAAGATCAAGACTAACCATCACTCAACACTGCCATGACCACTGAACCATGACCCCAGGTGTCACATCTCCATGTTTTTTGAACCCCTCCATGGCTGGTGACTCCAGCACCTCCCTGGGCAGCCTAGGCCAATGCCTCACCACTCTGCCAGGACAGAAATTCTTCCAAAGATCCAATCTAAACCTACCCTGGAGCAGCTTCAGCCCACGTCCTCTCATCCTATCACTAGCTACTTGGGAGAAGGGACCAACACCCCAACACCCACCTTACTCCAACCTCCTTTCAGGTATCTGCAGAGAGCAAGAAGTTCTCCCTTCAGCCTCCTCTTCTACAGGGTAAACACCCCCAGGTCCCTCAGCCACTCCTCACCAGCCATGTTCCCCAGAGCCCTCACCAGTCTCGTTGCCCTTCTCTGGACCTGCTCCAGCCCCTCAGTGTCTTCCTTACCCTGTGATGACCAAACCTGACCACAGCACTCAAGCTGTGGCCTCACCAGTGCTGAGTACAGAGGCACGATCACTTCCCTACTCCTACTGGACACGCTATTTTTGATCCAGGCCAGGATGCTGGTGGCCTTCTTGGCCACCTGGACACATGCTGCCTCATCTCCAGCCGGCTGGACACCAGCAACCAGAGGGCCTTTTCCCCCAGGCACTTCCCAGCCACTCTTCCCCCAGCCTGGAGCGTTGCCTGGGGTTGTTGTGACCCAAGTGCAGGACCCAGCACTTGGCCCGTTGATCCAGCCTATCCCAGTCCCTCTGCAGAGTCTCCCAACCCTCCAGCAGATCAACACTCCCACTCAATCTGGTGTCAGTACCCACAGTACCTCCCTGGATCCTCCTTCCAGCCCCTGTTTTAGATGGGGGTCACGCTGGCAAGCCCGCTGGGCTTACAGTCCAGCTGTGGAGTGTTATATTCACAGAAAAAGCACAGTGCAGTTCAGAGTTTGGGTTTCACTTGACCTCCAGCTCTTGTGAAGTGTTTGAAAGTAGACTTATTTCACACAAACTAGAAAGAATCACCTAGGTCATTCTGTAGAGCAATTGCCATACACATGTAGCCAGGTAACACGACACAGTCCACAAAATACCCACCCTGTTTATAATGTGGGTTACCAACAGAGGCAGATTACAGGCTGCCAGATTTCTCTTAGTGGCAGGGAATTCATATCCAAACATATCTTGGTTCAGAGGTATTTGTATTTGTGCTTCTTTTTACCACTAACATTTTTCCATGTAAACAATAGCAAGCCACGTTTCCTGAAACCACCCAAGAAACACACCTAGTCTGTACCACTGCAGAAACACCAATTTTGTACTAAAAGACCTACCTCAGACAGGTTGACGAGGGACTCGTGTGTCAATGACTGGTCCAGTCCTGAGGCAACAATCTTCTCCTGCCAACAGGGAAGAGTTCACTCATAACTGACCACAAAAATCTAGCAGAGATTTTACCATTTCCTTGGATTTTGATCTGAACAGGCAAAGATCACAGTTTGTCAATAAGGGAAACGTGTGCTATTTGAACCACAATTATAGCTGGTGTACGAAACCAGCTGCTGCTAAAATTTGTATGAAGAATGAGTCTTTTCAGAAGACTAAGCCTCTGTCCCATTTGTCAAGGAATCTGGCAGCACCCAATAGTTAAGTAAAGCATTCATATGTCCTTCATCATGCAAGAAAGGTGAAGGAGAAGATAGCACAACTTCTGCCTTCTTGAGTTTAATCATTCATTAATTTCAGAAGATGGCCACCTTCAGAGTTTTGACAGAGAGTTTGCTCAGTGGATCGTCAGCTCTCCTGTATACTCTCACATGACAGTACCTCAGAAGAAGCACGAGGCAGCCCGAGCTCATACAGTTCTCAGAGGAAGAGAACAGAGTGACCTTGCATTTACCATAGCACGTCCTGAGGAGACACCACAAAACCAGCAGGAACAACCAAAGCATGGCAACATGTTGTCCTGCCAGCCCCAGAGTCCTCCGTCCTGGAGTTTAGGAAGCTCCTGGGATCTCTGTAACTACAGCTTTGGATCCCATCAACCACGGCTGTGCCATCCTGTCACATGGTCTTGTTAGAAAATCCCTTCTACCTACCTGAGCATCATCAATGCTGGTTTGTAACTCCAGGGATTTCATTTGCAGGAAGTCCACGGTCAGGAAGCGTTCCTTGTTTTTGGCCTTCTGTACTTCATAATCTTCCTTAGATTTTTGGAGATCCCTTAAAAAAAAAAAAAAAAAATTCAGAAAGAAACAAACTTTTACATTGAAAGACATAACAGTACACAAATGCTGCTTAATTATCTATGCTCAAGTTAAACCCTGTAATAAAGCAAACACAAGAAGGGAGAAAACAGGGGGGAAAAAAACCCTCTATTTCCCTGTGAGATTTCCCAGTGTAAACATCCACAGCTGTTACATCCAGAGTCCCAAAAAATAGGGGAAAGAACCCACAATGGCTAACGGGAAATTCATGTACATAAAAGCAAAGTGTAACAGTCTTCTGCATAACTCCTTGTTTCAGTGAAGAGACCCGTTACACAAGCTAAACTTTAGGTCAGAGAGGGGCTGCAGCAAACCTGCACAAAGCACTCGTCTGTTGTCTCTCCTACAAGCAGTACTTCAATGACTACTTTAAAAGACAAAAAAAAGAGCAGAAAATAATTAGACTGGAAGGGGGCTGTGGAGATCATCTGGGGCAATCCCCACGCGAGGCAGGGGTTTGTTCTGCTACTCTTAGGATTAACTATGCTTAGGATCAAAGTGCTCTGGATTACATCCTCTAGGGGATGGAATTGAGAGATTTAATTTTTTTTCAAGTCTCCCACACACTGGTTAGAATAAATTCTTACCTGGGAACAGCCTGGCTCCTTCACTCTGACTGAGCCCATGCTAAATGTGGCAATAAAATTAGGTTTGCCTTCAAGCCCAGATGATGGCAACTGGTGTAAGATGCCAACCCATATCTAAAAGCTGCTTGTGGACAGTTTTTGGTTTAAAATACAGGGTTTGATGGGACCTCAAATCTCTTGTGATTACTGAATGTGTCCATAGCACATGGCTTTTGATAAGATAACTCCAGACACTGTGAATTTGAGATGTGTCAAAACTATGACAACTCAGCTATCCTTATGGGTTATCCCAACCAATGTTTCGTGTTGCAGAGGCCAGCAGTCCTGCTGACCTTCTCTCACCCATTACTCACTGCTCTAGATGCATTTCCAGCATCAGCACTGAAGCCAGTTTTTCTCTCATTTTTGCCAGTTCCACTCTCATTTCTCTGTTTTTTGATTCCGTTTCATGCAGCTCCAAAGTCATATCGTTGATGGCACTGAAGAGGCTAGGGAGAGATCAAGTGAGAATGCTCAGGTGTCAGTTCTTCTGCAACTCAAAATTATCATTACTATTTTCTTCACACTTTCCACAAATGACTTTTTTCTTGTTCTCCTATTATGATACATCAGATAACTGCCAGCTATTTTAGAGGAGGAAAGCAAAGTAAGTCACTAAGGGTATTTGATTCCCTTCACTAGCAAAGACTTCTATGAATGAGAAAACAGCCCAAAAAATTCTCACTAGGAGGCACTGAACAAGACCTGGTGCTGCAGTGAATGCAACCACTGGGTTTGACATCACCAGATGCTCCACCCCAGGCTTGCCAAATAACCTTTGTGAAAAACTTCATTCCTTCCCTGCAGATGCATGCCCCTGAGATGTGCCCAGCAGTGTTTCAGTCCCTCCCTCTCCCCAGAAGTTCAAAGCTGCTTGCCTCTCCAGCTCAGGAATGCTGTAAGAGCCAGGATCACATAAAAAACTGATTCCAAGGCAGATTTTGGCTCCTCCTCACTGCCCATGCTCAGCACAAATCTGCCGTGTTACGGATCACAGCCAGGCTATGGAGAGGGGCCCAGGAAGCACAGACTAACAGCTGCCATTTCTCTGTGGCTAAGGGAATCTCCTCACATTGACCCAGGCCAGGTGAGAGAGGGCAGAATGAGGAGCTGAGGCTGAAAGTTACAGTTCCCCAGTCCTGCCCTAAGCAGCACAAATGTTGCTCTAGCTTGTGCCACCTGGCACAACAGCCCAAGTAGCAGCATCCTGCAGTCACCAACTACAAAAGCAGGGGTGTAAAAGAAGGATTTAACTCTGGCCAAGGCAATTCTCTGGCTTCAGAGACTTCTGCTGGGATGATCAAAAGTTAGAGATTTGTGCTCCGTTCCTGTGCCCTCCAAAGCTGCCCAAGGGGTGCAAAAGAAGCTAGACAAGCAAGACTTCTGGTGAGAAAGTCAAGTTTGAAACTGTTGAATTGGAAAAAGAGAGGGAAACACCACAGATCATCACCCCTGATGCAGAGTGGGAATGATTACCTTGTGAGAGAAGCATCCTTTGTTTCCAGTATCATTGCACTGCGCACCAGATCATCAAGGTAGAGTATGCCCTCACTGGACAGACTGTACAGGTGAATACCCAGATGTTCTGTGAAAATGTTCTCTAGATTTTTAGCTGGGAAATAAGCACAACACCAAATACTGATTCTTTAATATTACTGTTCTTTGCAGGCCTAGATGGGATTCCCCCTTTTAAAATGTGTGTTAAAAATGTATTATGGTTCCCTGATCCACTCATTTGCTCCAAAAAAAACCTCTCCCTCTAGACAGCTTGAGCATAACTTCATCACCTCACTGTTGATTCAGATCCTTCGAGTGCTTTCTGTAACAGTGGATTAGCATCAGCTCAGGCTCTTAAATCAGCCGTGGGGTTTCTTCCCTGTCTATCCAGCCAATATTTCAATCCTGTGCTACTCAGCCCAGCAGGCTAGGAGGTTTTAGCAATTAATCTGCTTCGCCGTATTTACAGCCTGTTCAACATGGCCTAAAAAAAAAAACTTCTTGACCAACCTGATGTGACCATAAATTTTGCTGAAAGGAAGGCATAGGATGCACTGTAGTAAAAGGTGTACCAAAACAAAAGCTTAACAACTATTAATACAAAAGCTTAATAACTATTTTTCATATCTATATATATTTGCCTGTAAGGCTATAACAAGAACCCCCTGCAGAATCACTAGGAAAAACTGATTTTGATGGAACTGAGAACCAGAGCTTCAAACTCACCTTCTGCTTCATACCATGTTGCCCTCTCCTTCATGTCCTCTATCAAGAAAGAAATATCCTTGTCTGTGGCTTCATCGTATTTGGAAAGCTCATGCAAGGTATCCACTGTCTCTGCAGTCAACACACCCTCTGGGACAGGCTGAACCCCACATATTTTCTTTAGCCATAAATAAACCTGCCAGAAAGAAAAACAGTCAAGTGAACTGACAGAAAACAGACGACAGATGTAAGAGAAGTGCTGCAAGTTCAGTGTTCCTGAAGAACAACTCCGACCACATCAGTTGAAGCACAGGTGGAAAAAAGGGAGACAACTTTGTTGCTGCTTCAAATATCCTCTGTAGCTTGGAAAACCACTTCCCTTTTAATCTCCCTCACTTCTCTGGACAGGTGCTTATCTCTAGTTGATGAATTTTGTCTTTTTATTCACATGACCCGTTTGCTCCAGCCACATTAACAACCCAAGAGATGTTAAATGGCTGTTTGGGCAGCTGGTTAAAACGGCATTAAAGCAGCATGAGATAAAACTGCACAAAGTGTAATCACTGGGAACAGTCTATATGGACTAGCAGGGAAGAAAGGGTTAGTACAGAGTGCGGGCATGAGCCCAAGAAGTGAAAAATGGGAGACCAATGCAGTGCTCTTAGGTGGTACAGAAAGATTATATGATTATAATAACAGAACATATGTAAGTTTAACACTGAGGTAACAAATTTTCGTCTAGGGCTAAGTAACCTGGTGGAAAAGGGCCCAGTCTTACAACTTTAAAAGATATTTTATAGAATCATTGAATGTTTGGGGTTGAAAGATACCTTTAAATGTTACTTAGTCCAACTCTGTTTTCTAGCATGCCCTTCTGTATATTTCCACCCCAGCTACACGCCTTCGAACAAAGGAGGTTACATCTTTCTGCCACGTTCTCCAGTGAGAAACGCTTGAAATGCAAAATCTTCAGGCAGCCAAGGCCTTCATAGCCAAGCGCTTGAGAGCAGCAGCGAGCTTAAACGCCAGTGAAGTGGGGCTGATACCCATAGTTGGCAGGGGATGAGGTGTGCCAACACCGACTTGAGCCCAGCCAGCCCACCCCTCCTGTCCCTCAGGGGGTGACACAAAGAGAGGCGGTGGGGAGCGCGGGACGCGGCTCCGGTATCGCACCGGCGGCGGTTGCACCCC